CCTTTAACCCATATTTTAAGCCTAAAGCTAGTCAAAGAATGACTTTTAACCCATATTTCAAGCCTACAGCTGGTCTAAGAATGACTTTTAACCCATATTTTAAGCCTAAAGCTAGTCAAAGAATGACTTTTAACCCATATTTCAAGCCTACAGCTGGTCTAAGAATGACTTTTAACCCATCCTTCAAGCCTACAGCTGGTCTAAGCATGACTTTTAACCCATATGTCAAGCCTACAGCTGGTCTAAGAATGACTTTTAACCCATATTTCAAGCCTACAGCTGGTCTAAGAATGACTTTTAACCCATATTTCAAGCCTATAGCTTGTCTAAGAATGACGTTTCACTCATATTTTAAGTCTACAGCTCATGTTTTCCTACGTCTAGCAGCATTCAATTTATATTGTTTAATGTTAAGTGTATATAAAGATGCATGTTATTGGTAATAACAACAACTTAATGTTTTTTGACTGAATAATTACAACTACAAAAAATTGTATTTATATATATTTTCACCAGGAGACTCTTTGATACGGTTTTGCTTATGGTGTCACAAATTTCATGGACTATTCAATATAGCAGTGTCTTCTGATGACTTTATCATGCTAAAATCGGGTTTCGATCTTTGCTGCGGACACAGCTCAAATGTTGCCTTGCATTATAATACGAAAACAAATACAGCAATAAAAGATAAGATAGCGTTTCAGCCACACCAATTTACAGCAGCGTTATCAGGCAACATTACTTGAACACGATTATTAGTCATTTGTCTTTCGTTATAGTTGTGGAAAAACACTACCTCAGCGCCATCTACGACTAGAGTGCAAATCACAATATACGAGCTGCGAAAGAAAATACACTTTCTAGAAATCATAGTTGTGGCACAAACTCAACCATATTATACACAAATGATAAGAAAAGTTCGAATAAGTTTTCTATTAAATATCTTCTGGTCTTTTTACGTTTGTTTTCTTGGTCTCGAAGCCACAAAAGATAATGTGAGTGGATGGTTTCCTTCCGATTGACCATCTTTTGTCTGGATGCTGTCCCGAAAATTTAAGGACCCGGTAGCCATAGAATTAATATTTGGTGATGGTACAAGTAAGTCAATAATAAACGTTGACGTAAAGTAATAAAAACTTAAAAAAGGCTAGTAGCCACTGGCTTTCTCTTCTTGGCTGTAGGTATACGTCCAAATACACAGTATTTGATGAGCAAAATAAAATCACACACACACACACACATAAAACGCCTTCTACGGAATATTTCAAAATTCTCTTCCTATGAGCGTTTATCTTTCTTGAAGTTTAAAAGTTCAAATAAACTGCCTCACGCTTGTTCCTGTATGCTTTAAACAAAAACCTTTATTTAACTAATGCTTTAGAAAGAGTCCGCTAGAGGTCCTTTTCTCAGAAGTCACGAATAGCACACAGGTAGCAAGAAGATACGTCATTTTCTGCAGAACTTTGAGTGATTAGGCCAATGTTTCACCTGTGACAGAAGATAAAACCAAGACGTATACTTTATTAAGTTAAACGAAAACAACCAAAGTTATTGACACTTTTTAAGGTTAGATTTATGTGAAAGTCTAAACTAGGTACCAACATAACTCAATGATCTCTAGTACGATATTATTTGAAAATAGTGTAAATGTGACAAAAAATAAAAGTATGTGACAGAATATACGCTTGCGAAATTTTCTGATCACGTGATGTAAGTGATCAAGAAAGTGATCTAAAGAGGAACCTCTGTGACACTCTAAAAATTAAAAGCTCGCTTCTTCATCCGCATTTATTCATTATTACACCCCCCCCCCCCAGTGGCACAGCGGTATGTCTGCGGACTTACGACGCTAGAATCCGGGTTTCGATACCCATGGGGGCAGAGCACAGATAGCCCATTGTGTAGCTTTGTGCTTGATTACAAACAAACAAACAATAATTATTACAGTAAGGTTTCGATACCCATGGGGGCAGAGCACAGATAGCCCATTGTGTAGCTTTGTGCTTGATTACAAACAAACAAACAATAATTATTACAGTAAAGAGTAAGGTAAGGTATGAACGGCGACTACTTGCCGAAAAAGTGTTCAATGATAGGTTGATTTGTTTTGAATTTTGCGCGAAGCTACACGAGCTAATTTAGCAATGGTAGCCATTAGGGAAGGTAACTAGTCAACACCACCCACCACCAACTCTTGGGTTACTCTTTTACTAACGAAAAGTGGGATTGACCGTCGCATTATAATATCGAGGCAGCTGAAAAAGCAAGCATGTTCAGTAACGAGGATTCGAACCCGCGATCCGCAGATTGTGAGTCGAGCGCCCTAATCACCAGGCCATGCCAGGTCCCAGCATTATTTCTTCCTAAGCGCTTATGAATATATATATAAACCTGAAACGTTTGAAATTGAAACAAAAATAGAATGACGACGTAACACGAAACCACAAGGTTGCTGACAGCTATTTCCTGTTACACATGATTCACGTTTGTTTAATTCATGATTCCACATGAAGATAGCTTCAATAAATTTGAATATAATACCCATCTTGAACGTTACTGTAGCTTGCTAATTTCTACGTGCACGGAATTTGACCATTACGCGTTTTAGGCTAAGAAGCATATCTCTCTTAACCAAAGGTTTGTTTAGCCTGAAGAATCACGCCTGAGAGCAAAGTAAAAAGATAAAAACGCCACCTATAAACTATCACGCAACTACTAAATGAAGATAAAACCATATATTTAAAGTAAGCCTAAAACACGTTTTACACAGGAAGCATTGTTCCTTTGTTGTTGTTTTTCTAGCATAACAGAAAATATGTAAGACGTTTCATAATGCATAAAAGATAAAACTCTGTGAATAATTTTCTTCATAAACCAATGTTTCATGTCGAACAGTAAACGTTCAAGAACACAAACGTTGGAAAGCTAGATGTGGCGTATACACACAGATATGAATTTGTTTGATCTTATGTTAACACTACTACTACTACTACATCATAATTATCTAAATATATCAAATCTTCAGAGGTAAAAACCTCTTGTCAAGTGATTTCGTCTTGACGATGTACGTCATGTATCTTTGTAACGAAATATTTAGGGAAAATTAATTATATTAATTAATTATAAACAAGTCATTACAGCATCTACTGAGGATTCATACCTGGCAACTTTCTCCGCAATACCAGCTTTGTTTACAGCCAGAACACATAAAGATAGCTTTTTTACCGCATAAACCACAGCGAGGACGTGCCTTCTGGTTGCTTGCTACGTCTTTACTGGAGAAGTTACGATTTTTACCCATTGCCTGTTAAATAAGAGACATTAGAACATGAACTGTTTGTTTTGGATACTCTCGTACCGTTACACAAAAACTATCTGTGTTAGCCATCTTTAAATTTATAGACCTTGTAGTGCACTAATGGACCCAAAGTGGGGACGTGAACCATAAACCCTTGGATTCATAGCCTGAAACACTAACATCATGCTCAGCAATAGAATAGAAATAAAATATATTGAGGTGTTATTTAATTATTTAATCGTGAAAGGCACGTAGGACTGGTGTTTAACTGTAACACGAGTGAATGATAATGATAACACATTGTCTTTGGACAGGATTAACTCCTAGCTATTAGTATCATACAGCTGGAAAGACTAAAGCAAATACAGATTGAAGATAAAGTGAATAGCAAGGCTCGAACCCGGATCTAAAACAATAACTGTTTCATGCAAAACTAGTGTTGTAGAAAATTAATTACAAAGAATGGGAACATAATAGATCCAACAAACACATGATTCGTTATGAGTATTACTAGATACACATAATATTTTTGTTCTATTGAACCACGCACTTCGTTACGGTGAGTTCTACGTTTTGAAAAGCCTAAACTTCTCTCACGTGTTTGTACAAAAACAACAACATCATCTGTCTAAGGAAAGACAACAACATCATTTATCTAAGGAAATACAACAACATCATCTGTCTAAGGAAATACAACAACATCATCTGTCTAAGGAAAGACAACAACATCATCTGTCTAACGAAAGACAACAACATCATCTGTCTAAGAAAAGACGACAACAACATCACTTATCTAAGGAAAGACAACAACATCATTTATCTAAGGGAATATAACAACATCATCTGTCTAACGAAATACAACAACATCATCTGTCTAACGAAAGAGAACAACATCATTTATCTAAGGGAATACAACAACATCATCTGTCTAACGAAAGACAACAACAACATCTGTCTAAGGAAAGACAACAACATCATCTGTCTAAGAAAAGACAACAACATCATCTGTCTAACGAAAGACAGCAACATCATCTGTCTAACGAAGGACAACAACATCATCTGTCTAAGAAAAGACGACAACAACATCACTTATCTAAGGAAAGACAACAACATCATTTATCTAAGGAAATACAACAACATCATCTGTCTAACGAAAGACACCAACATCATCTGTCTAACGAAAGACACCAACATCATCTGTCTAAGGAAAGAGAACAACATCATTTATCCAAGGGAATACAACAACATCATCTGTCTAAGGAAAGACAACAACATCATTTATCCAAGGGAATACAACAACATCATCTGTCTAACGAAATACAACAACATCATCTGTCTAACGAAAGAGAACAACATCATTTATCTAAGGGAATACAACAACATCATCTGTCTAACGAAAGACAACAACAACATCATCTGTCTAAGGAAAGAGAACAACATCATTTATCCAAGGGAATACAACAACATCATTTATCCAAGGGAATACAACAACATCATCTGTCTAACGAAAGACAACAACATCATCTGTCTAACGAAAGAGAACAACATCATTTATCTAAGGGAATACAACAACATCATCTGTCTAACGAAAGACAACAACAACATCATCTGTCTAAGGAAAGAGAACAACATCATTTATCCAAGGGAATACAACAACAACATCTGTCTAAGGAAAGACAACAATATCATTTATCCAAGGGAATACAACAACATCATCTGTCTAAGGAAAGACAACAACATCATTTATCTAAGAGATGTCCGATGGTAAGAACCTTCCAGAAAACCACCTGTCTAAACGACGTCCGATGGTAAGAACCTTCCAGAACATCACTTGTCTAAACGACGTCCGATGGTAAGACGCTTCCACAACATCACCTGTCTAAGAGATGTCCGATGGCAAGAACCTTCCAAAATGTCACCTTTTATCTGTGTGAATGTATTGTAATTTGCTTACCCTGAACATGTTTCGTACCTAGTGTTGATTCAAGGAACTAAAACAAAATTGATTCCCTTAGTGTATGCCCAAAACCTTAACAAATGCTAATTTGCAGAATAAACATTGTGCGCAATGCTTCTTACTCCTGACAAGGAACTATTCCTAATATGTATATCGTAATGAAATATGAGATCAGATATTTATCTCGAGTCAAAAAGGGAGAAATGAAGTGCGGTCCATTATCCTTAATAACATATAATAACATTATCCTTATCATATCCTTATAAATGACCATAAATCATTACCTCCAGTGCTGCATTATAAGGAAGAAGGAAGAGACCGCGCGGGTGTGAAATATTAAACTCAAGCTAACTACTGGCCACGCTCTGCCTTTAAATTTTTAAATCTTCATTTTTAGTAAAAAATGAAGCTTTAAAGAGCAGAAACTAAGCCTACTGGTAAGAATATTTTTTTTTCCAAGAAAGTCAGTTCAAATTACTTGAGCTATTTATTTTCAGCCGAGGCATATCGGCTCATAGAATGGCTCTGAATTGTTGTTTTTTCAAGTACAATGTTTTAGCTCATAGCTCCATCTCTTGATCGATTTGAGATCACATTGCAGCCGCGACCATTGAGGATTCCCTCTTGTTTATTTCCGAATGCACATATTGGTAATAAGCGATTAGAATGTTGCTTCTACTAAGAAAAAAATGATTTAGAGAGGTCTATACTCACTTGGTGTTAGTTATGGCTAAAAATCGGGTTGCGATAACCGTGGTGGGCGTAGCACAGATGAGCTTATTGAGTAGCTTTTTGCTCAATAAGAAAGAAACCCTTTTTTTTTCCTAATCGTGGTACTATAGTAATAATCTAATTAGTTATCGTTTATACCATTAAAAGACTAACAGAAAAATAAGCGAAAAAAAAAACACAAATCATATTTTACGTTTTACCTGAGTATCACGAAAATGATCACTCGGAAGATGCACCATTGACTGAGGGGACGGGTAGTTAAGCATCATTGGCCGTTGCGTCCATGTGTCGTATAGTGGAGCTCCAGTCGAAAAAGTTTGCGGATTCATAGTTCTTGAATCGTTCCCGCGCTGTTGTACCACCTGATGAGGCTGTTGCTGTATTATTGGACGGACTTCCATTCTGGAGTGAGTGGAATTCATCAGTGGTCTGAACAAAGTCTGAGAAGACAAGTCTGGTAAAGTACAGTTTATCATGGCCGTTTCGGGCCGATATGAAAATGGCACCTGCGAAGCAAAGTTTTTAATTGACGTAGTAAAGTTTGGGTTATATAACCTGTGCGAGGCATCAGAAGATGCTCTAACTTGTATTGGGTTATCATGTCTGAAAGAGTGTCTAGGTTCACTCGTTCCAGAGTAACCAGATAGTGAGGGCACTACTAAAGGGTTTACAAGAGTTGGATGGGAAAACACATTTGGACGGACAGTATAGAAGGCTGTCTTCTTGTTCTGGCTGCTTCTCAATTCATTCATCCGCTCTTGTGGCAAAAATCCGCCCTGTTTCTGGACAATATCTCTAGTAAAACACACGTTTGAATTAGGGTTAGGTGCAGAACAACCAGTTATCCTCTCACAAACTTCACAGTGGTCATTTTTATGTTCTCTTACGCAGTTGTGAAGTTTCTGAAGTGACGGAAAAGAATTTGTGACTGAAGACAAGTGGCTGTTGTACAACGTTCGAAGATGGATATTAGGCGGATATGATGGTTTGTCCTCACATACGTCACTTGGCTGGCATAAGTTATTCATCACTGGGGCCACAGTAGCAACGCTTGGTGAGAACGTTTTGTTTTCCACAACGCTCTTTGGATTTTGTTTCTCTGGTGTTTGATCAAATTTGTCATCGTGTTGCGTGGCCCCTGTTGCTTCTTTACTTCTGTACAGAGGTGGCACCAACTGTGGCGATGAAGAAACAGAAGAATACGTTTGAATGAGTGGTGCTGGCTGAGGCCTTACGGGATTAACTGCGGCCGTGGGTATCGTGTGGCAATGAGAAGGCTTTGATTCGCTTTTCCAAACTGGTCCGGAGAGCTTTGAAACGTTGGATGTTGTTTTGGGATCTGTTTCTTGATTACCACTTACAGGATCCGTTTCTTGATTACCACTTACAGGATCTGTTTCTTGATTACCACTTAAAAGACCTGTTTTTTCTGAATCTCTACAAGGATTTCCACTTAATGCATGTGTTTTTTCCGAAGATTCACCAGTACTAAAAACATCATTCTCTGCCAAAGCTGAAGCTTCCTTTAGATTGAAAACGGACGGTTTTGTTTCTGCGATAGGCTGATCAGTTTTGAAGTTTGCGTTTATTTCAAACTTACAGTTCGTATTCATTGGAATGGTTTCTGCATTTAGAGTCTCGGGTTTGAAAGGTTGCTTTTCATCATCTTCCATTTTAGGTGAGTCTATCAGTTTAGGGAAGCATTTTTCCAGCATATCAAGCAGTCTGTGTTTTTCTTTACGAGTTTGTAGCAGCTCTTTATACTCCTTTTCACGCTCTTTGGCAAGTTGGTCTAAAATAATAAGCTCTTTTTTTCTGGTTTGCATTTCTTCTGTCAGATTTCGGAAAGGGTGCCGTTTCTCCATAGCCAATGAATAGTCGTTTTGGTTGTCATTCTTATTAAGCGTTTCATAACTTTGAGTAACACCAGAAAGTCCTGACAAGGTAGCTCCTTTCGGCACGACACCAGTGTTAATTGAAGTAAGGCCTGACGAGACAGCTCCTTTCGGCACGACACTAGTGTTAATTGAAGTAAGGCCTGACAAGACAACTCCTTTCGGTACGACACCAGTGTTAATTGAAGTAAGGCCTGACGAGACAGCTCCTTTCGGTACGACACTAGTGTTAATTAAAGTAAGGCCTGACGAGACAGCTCCTTTCGGTACGACACTAGTGTTAATTGAAGTAGGGCCTGACAAGGTAGCTCCTTTCAGCACGACGCCAGTGTTAATCGAAGTAAGGCCTAACGAGACAGCTCCTTTAAGCACGACATCAGTGTTAAATGAGGTAAGGCCTGACGAGACAGCTTCTTTCGGTACGACACTAGTGTTAATTGAAGTAAGGTCTGACGAGACAGCTTCTTTCGGTACGACACTAGTGTTAATTGAAGTAAGGTCTGACGAGACAGCTCCTTTCGGTACGACACTAGTGTTAATCGAAGTATTTAAAGTTCCGGCTGAGTTAACGTTAGTTAGGGATGGCATGCTGGAAGTGAGTCTTCTTACAGGTTGTTCTCGTTTTTCATCTTCAGTCATGCGACGAGCTCCGCCTGTGTTAGTAAGGTCTTCCGTTCGCTGGCTGTGAACATTCTTTTCATTACTAGATGATACAACGTGCGAATTGTCCTCGTGCAAACCTGGTGACGAAGAAGAAACGTTGTCTTTACTGTGCTGTTCAGCGTTCAGGAGTTGCTCAGATTCATAAATTACTTGAATTTCATTTTCTTCGCTTTTCTTCGCCATTCCTTCGATATCGAGCTGCGAGTCGGCAGAATTTACGCAAACCGTTTTTCGTGCAATAACGTCGTTTCCCGTTTCTTCGAAACTGTGATTCTTCTCGCCCTGTTTTAAAAGATATTCTCCTTCAGTGGTTGTTTTGTCTTGGCATTTGGTGATGATTTCTTTTTCTTTATCTATTGCATAACTCATGAGTCGTTTTCTCTTTAATGACAAGTAACCCGCAGAATTAGACAAACTCAGTGAATCGTTCTCCAAGCGAGATGTTTGTGGTTTGTAAAGACCGTGTTCTGTATAACCAGAACTGTCCTTACTCGAATGATCATTGTTATTATCCAAAGACTTACGGTATTTTTGTCGGAAAGATATTCTAAATGAATTTGCCTTAGAAGGAGGTTCGTCACCGCTCGCGCAATGCAGCATTCCATCACCACTTTCAGGGCTTCTTGGTGAGCTATTATTATTAGACATGTTTTCGTCTGACGTCTGGGTTGATTGAGATTTTAACTCGGTTACTTTATTTGGCACAGCGGGGGTTGCGTCTTCAGTGTCCATTGTTTTAAGAAGCAACTGGACAGCATGGCATTCTTCAGCACGTCCGGACTCATCGGCTGAACCCTGAGATAGTTGATCGAGCATTGGTACCTCTTTAACGCAAATATTCGAGCTTCTCGTGAGCTGGGATTCAAAATAAGAGCCCCCTTGTTCCTTCGGCAGGGAAAAATCCTTCATAAGACTAGGATCTGATTCAGCAGAGTGTTTCGTGTATTGCTGGGAAGTCCACTGATCTCTCTGACGCGCGACTGGTGTACACTCTTTGTAGAACTGGTTGTTTTGACGATCACTTGAAACAGTTTTGGAGAAATGACTAGCATTCGTAGGACGAAGTATAATATTTTGTTCAGCATAAGAGTTAGCGCGCTGCGTGGATGAAACACCACCATAACTCGTAGTTGGTGCGTTGAATTCAGTTGGCTTGATAAGATGACTAGCATTGTGTTCCCTAAGTGGCGGAGAAATTGAATAAAAACTATTTTTCCAAGGCTCTAGGTGAATAATAGACATCTCATTATGTTCTTTAAGACTCGACATATCTAGGCTTAAATGGCTGTTAAATTTGGCTTTTTTTAGTTGCTCCAGAGACCAATCTGCGTCCCGATCACGTCGTTCATCAGATTTAAGACTGTTTAAAGCAACTTTATTACGGAAACAATTCGAACGATCGCAGCCGGTCCCTGGTGGCGGATTTGGAACTTGAAGTTCTAACACTGACGAACTCAAGGTATGATTCTCCGCTTTGTAAACTTGGACTTTTCTAAACGCAGATGTCTTTGATGCGAACTCGTGTAAACCCTCATTACCAATGCGAACGCTGTCTTCCTGCTCTGCGATGGGCTCGTGGGCTGAAGTCACTGTGCTGCCTACTGCGCCCTCTAAGTCACGGTAATCTTTTGATGAGGATTCGGTAATGTATTCTTCTGCTGGACTTGGAGGCATTAAAGGGGAGTTCCTTGTAATGAGGACAGGATCCACCTTAGGACAGGTCGATAGAAACTTCGAGAATGTGCTGCTTGATTCTGCCAAATCTGCAAAATAACATACAAGTTTTTTTAGGTTTCCTCTTAAACTCCTTTCTTCACTGCTAACAAGATGAATTTGCTACTGGGCATAATGCATTAGTACTAACCTTTTAGACAGAATCGTAACAATTTGTTATATACATAGGATGGATTATGTTATGTTAAAAATAAAACGATTATGAAAATTCAAATCAGCAAGTCCAGGGACATTCAAAGCTGACATCGGGTCGCGGGAGAATCGCGTGTATCAGAAGTACATTTTTACATGTCTCGTGTCTTTTCACCGAAAAGTGATTACCTTTCGCAAAAATATATATATAACAAACCTTTCCGACGAAAATTATCCATCCACACAGATCGTAAGTCAGGGATTTAGAATTTCCAACAGGAAGATATTTCTCCTACTTAATGACATTGGAAAACCAAAGAATGTGGATTAACTTGGGGAACCAGGACCATCCAGAAAGAGACATGTAACAAATTTGGCCTCAGCCGTAGTAAGTGAATAGCCAATAACACAAAGATCAGTAGTAAAAGCTTTTCATATACCTCGGGCAACATCTCAGTAAGGACCTTTATGTATAAATACGTCATAAATCACGTGTGCATAAGTTGCTTTCACGACATATCCGATTTTTCCAAGCCCGTTCCCTTGGCTGTGGTTTCGCTAGATAGTAGATAGGGACAGTGTGAATCTCGTTAATCCATTCATGCGCGTCACTAATTAGATGACGAGGCATTTGGCTACCTTAAGAGAGTCATAGTTACTTGAGCAGCTGAAGTATGAAACTGGTATTCATGCTATTCTATACAGTATCCATGAATTTCTGTGAAATTGGAATGTTGAAACAGATGCTAGGAGACCGTCATCCTTGTACACTAGATGGAATATGGAAAGCCTGCATGGAGGTAGTGTGTGATTGGAACATGCAATTATTATGATGAAGTCTTTTGCAATAAAACCTATGCTTCAGAGCTATTGCTAATATGCGAAAACGAACATGGTGAGGCTCTAAAATCGTTTTAATATAATGTTCTCGACCTCTGAATATCTTCAGAATACATTAGTAATATTGCTTCAGACTGTAATGTAACAAGTTTTATGTATCTTCATATTGTATTAAGCTTATAACACATATTTACACATTTAAACTGCGTTTATCTAGAAACAATGTTTAATATAATAATCACAGCATGTACAGAGGGTTGAGTACGTTATATCAAAATGATTTTGGAGCCTCAACACATCGTTACAGTCCATGTCACTACATCCAATCATACTCTATCTAATGAGCATGCATTTTGACCATAGCCTTGCAGCGTAGTTTACTTGAAAAAGGCTACATTTTAAGACTGTCAGGCCCAAAGAACTCCACTCTTCACTGCATTGTCTTTCAAAATCCATTTAGTACACCAGAATAATGGTTTCCCAGTGCCCATTTCAGCAGTCTGTCTACACAGAAACCCATAGATTCTGCATCCCGTGACTTGGCTAGTTTATTTTTGTATGGAATAGAATTAATACCCGTTTCATTCTCCAGTTACTTGAGATATTCCATGTTTGAACAGATGTGTCGTGAAAGCAGCTTGCGTACATGCGACTTGTGTCATTTTTCCAATTTGCTGTTTTTTATATTATTTTGTATACAGTTGCCTGGGACATATGGACGGCTTTTGCCACTAACCTTCATGTTCGTACATTATCACCTGTTATAAAATAACACACTTTGTTTATGACGGCTAAGGGATGACTTGTTGCAGGTCTCTTTGTGGATGGTCCTGATACTCCAAGTTGATCCATATCCTTTTCATTTAGTACAAAGGATATCCCAGTCTTGAAAATTAAAGAGCTTCGATATAAACACATCCTTATGATCTGAGTATACAAATATTTATTTTGTATCGAAAAAAGCTATTACATAATCTTCCTAAGATATATCTAATTTATGATGGAATCGCATTACGTATATGACGCCAAATAATGTCAAAATTCAATCCTGTATGTATAAGCAGAATATCGTATTTATTAATTACCGTATTTTTAGGTGTATAAGACGCACTTTTTTTACTCCAAAATTTGATGTCAAAATCTGCTTGCGTCCTATACACCGAAGGTATGAATAATATATTTATGTATATATACGATATACACAAGACATGTGTAAATATATTTAAATAGACATGCAATGTTTAGTTCAATTGAATGTGTTATTTATAACAGTAGTAGGTTTTTTCTTTTAAAAACATAACTATTTATAATGCTCCCTAAATAATAAAAAAATAAATTACAGTGAAAACAATGAAGATTTTGTAGGTTTTGAACCAAACTAAATAACAGTAAACCTTTTTCTGAGTTACGGTATTTTCTTCTTTTGATGTTTTGAGCTCTTTTGGCTTTAGAACAATATATACCAATTTTTAAAGAAACAAATTGAATTTTTTTTCAATAAACATC